CGATGGATGGTGGGCACGCGTGTTTTTTTTTTCTCTCCCTTTGGTTGAGGGGAGATATCTCTATTGTGAAGCTGCCTGGGCGTTCTGGCATTTGAGATGGTTTGCACCCGTCACTATGAAGGCCGCTACTCCAAGCTCTGCACCGTGATATGCTCTGGCTGTGCTGCGCCCTGGCTGTCCCCCGAGGCCCTACAAAGTCTGGGGCCGGGACCTCCCTAGGTAGGTACCTAGGTAGGTAGGGAAGGTAGGTCAGTACCTAAGCTGCTAAGGGAACGCACCGCTGTGCCCACTTGGGCGTCCCTGGCTCAGGTTGCCCAAGGGATCCCCCCTCAACGATGATGTGCGCAGGGTTCCATTGACCTTGTCATCTCCATCCGTGTGCCTGTTTGTTGCCTGCCTGCCTGTTTTGCCTTTGCCTGCTGTTGCTGTCTTCCCGTTCCCGCTCATCTAAACGGCTTGGCTATTTGCGTACATGTACATGCCTCCGCAGCTTGAGTCTGCCTTCTTTAGTCTGCCTTTTTTAGTCTGCCTTCTTCTTAAACAGACCTAACCTCCTCCACCCCCCTCTTCCACCACCAGAAACCGACAAAGCTGCTGAGTCGACGATAGCCTCAATTCCTGACCCATCAATCCCCGATTCTCTCTTCGGCGTCCCCCTCATTCCACTATTCTTGCGCCGAGCCCCGCCCAGCAGCTAGCGAATCCACACCCAGCTAGCACCAACCTCGACTCGGGCTTCACAGCTACGTTACCCAATTACCCAACCAGACGTCTCCGCATTGGGCTACCATCTGGAACATCGACACCACACTAGCCTCACCTCGCCGCCCATTGCCAGCCTATGACCGCATTAGTCTGATCACCCCCTTCAGCGCCCTCCTGTTCTGCCTTACCTTTACCAGCACAGCTCTGGCCCGTCTCGACTCACTGACCAGCTGCTGGCCTTTGCCTCTCTGAAGGTAGGTAGGTGCCCCCCCCCCTTATTACCTCTGCGGCGGACGGGAACAGCGAGCCAGCAGCCCACCCGCCCCCCTCTAGCCGGCCTTCCGTCGTCATCGTCATTACCTGGCCGTGGGTTGCGTCAGAATTTCCCAACACACCCTGCGACCGACAGCTCTGGTGTCTTGTCTCGTCTCAACCTGACTTTTAAAACTAGTGCAGTCCAGTCCCTACACCCGTCGCCATGGCCTCCCATGCCACCTCCACCACCAGTGCTGGCTACCCGAACCCAAACTCCGATCCTACTCAAAACCTTGCATATCCCCCTCCACCTTCCCACACGGCGCGCACTCCTGCTGCCCTGCATTCCGACGCCTTTGACGCACCAGCCAACGGCAACGGCCACGACCACGATCCATACTCTGCTCATCTCCGTCAAAACACCCTCGCCAACGCTCACACATCGCATCCCATATACCCACAGCAAGCCGCCAGCTCCTTGGCTGTGCCATCGTCAAATCACGGCCGCTTCACCGAGGAATGGGACGCCAGCCAGCGCGGCAGCAGCATCATTGACGGCCACACTGCCAACAACATGCAGCGCTCCAACTCGTACGCGTCCAACAGCGGCGAGGACCACCTCAGCCTTCCCAGCCGCGGGAACACTCTGAAGAAGAAGGGCTCGCTGCGCAGAAATGCCAGTCTGAAGCGCAGCGGCAGCCGGCGTAGTATGAATGCCGGCAGCGTGCGCAGTCTGGCCCTGCAGTCGACCTCGGATCCAGACGAGGCGCACAGCGCTTTCCACTGTCCCGTCCCTACCACCGGCAACCCGACCGAGGTCCTGGCCAACAGGTTCCAGTGTGAGTGAAAAGCCAAAACATGCGCCGTGGCAGACCCCGCAGCCCGGCTCGCGCACCCTCCGGCGTTGCATTTTTACTGACAGTGGCACAGCATGGCGCAAGGTGCTCAAGGACCTGATTGCCTATTATCGCGAGATCCAAAGCCACTATGAGACCAAGGCCAAGTCCCTTGTCAAGCTCGCCAATGTCGCCAACAACATCTCTACCCCTGCCGGCTTCCTAGCCTCAGGCGGTCTCGTGGATGCCATGGAGATCCTGCGCGTCTACCACAAGGACTCCATTGTCGAGGCGAACAAGGCCAGAGAGATCGAGGAGGACGTCATCCTGGCCCTGACAGGACTCCGCAGTGACTTGCACCAGAAGATCAAGGAGATCAAGAGCTTGTCGGGCGACTTCAAGAACTCGGTCGAGAAGGAGATGGACGCCACGCGCAAACTGGTCAAGTCTCTGCAAGAGGCCATTGGCCAGAGCGACGCGGACCCTGCCTCCACGACCGGCAAGCAGGACCCCTACCTCCTGCGTCTCGCTGTCGACCGGCAGGTGGAGCGCCAGATCGATGAGGAGAACTACCTGCACCAGGCGTACCTCAACCTGGAGGCGTCCGGCCGGGAGCTTGAGTCCATCGTCGTCGGCGAGATCCAAAAGGCGTACAACGCCTATGCCGGCATTCTCAAGCGCGAGTCTGACGCCGCGTACAACGCCATCGACGAGCTCCGCATCGGCCCCATTGCCATGCCCAAGGACACCGAGTGGACTCACTTTGTCCAGAAGGACGACCACTTTGTCGACCCTGAGATTCCGGTGCGGTCTGCCGACCAGATCCACTACCCCGGTCAAGATCACCTCACCTGCCAGGAGATCCGCGCAGGCCTTTTGGAGCGCAAGAGCAAGTACTTGAAGAGCTATACAGCTGGCTGGTGAGTGCCCATTCCCGCGTGTCTTTCTGCCGGCTCCACCCACTCACTAACTTTTCACCAGGTATGTACTGTCTCCGACTCATCTCCACGAGTTCAAATCAGCGGATAAGGCGCAAGCGCCCGTCATGTCATTGTACCTCCCAGAGCAGAAACTAGGTTCCCACTCCAGCGAAGGAGGCTCGTCCAACAAGTTCATCCTCAAGGGTCGCCAGGCCGGCTCGATGCACCGCGGCCACACGTGGGTCTTCCGCGCCGAGACCCACGACACCATGATGGCATGGTACGAGGATGTCAAGGCGCTCACCGAAAAGACGCCGCAAGAGCGAAGCGACTTTGTTCGCCACACCCGCAGCCTCAGCCAGTCCTCGCGACGATCGGTCAGCAGCGACGGCGTCGTCGACGAGGAAGATGACGAGCCGTTCTCGGCCGACACAGTAGTCGCGGCGGAAACGGGCTCGAAGTCAGACATCCGCCGTCCTCAACCAGGTGGGCGGTTTCCATCCGATATACAAGTCAATGCGCAGCGAGGCTTACAGGCTCCTCTCTCGCCGTCTAGTATGAGTTCAGGATTTGAGAACCAGGGTCCAGGTCAAGACCAGATGGCGGCGGCCGGCGTGCTGCCTGTGGGTGTCGGCGCTCTCGGCGACAAGAACGACTCGCGGGAGTCTCACCAGGGGTACGGAAACACCGACCGTGCTCTCATGGACGATGCGCCCTCGCATGCCACGATGGTCAGCCAACAGGCCCGCGAGGATGGTATCAACCCGTACACCAACGAACCGGCCCGAGACTCGCAGATGGTACCCAACTATGACAACAACCAGTACTTCAACCAGTCCCAGACGCAAAACTATGTTGTCCCCGTCGCTGGCGTTCAGCGGTCGTCGAGCCAGCGCTCCCAGCGGTCTCAGCGCTCCCAGACTCAGTCAAGCCAGACAAACCAAAACCCCGGCGTCATCGCACCCCTCGTCGTAGGCGGCGACTTGCAACGCCACACTTCAGAATCTCAAGACCGTTCGCTGGAGACCCCCGGCGGCAACGGCCAGTACGGCCAGTGGATGAACGGACACAGCGACAGCCAGCGCATTGATGGCGTCCAGCCTGTGCCCTCGCAGGTTGCTCACCAGCCTGCGTACCAGGCGGCCAACGTCCATGACACTCGCGACGTGAGCGTCAAGCCCGTCTTTGTGGCTGCCGGCCACCGAAACGACTGGAACGGACAGTTCCAGCAGCAACCCGAGAACCATGCCACCGACGGGTCTTTGGCGAGCCCGACGCAGGCCAACGCCAACTACACCCTCGCTCAGCCCCAGCCCGTGCGACCCACGTCGACCAACATGCGGACCGACAGCGTGCCGACCATTTCCAACCTTCACGTCCCGGGCGAATATCCCAAGGCGACGCCTACCACCGAGTCGTTGGACAAGCGCCTCGCCTAGTTTTGTTGTCCGTTTTCGAGTCGGCGCGCGCACAGCTAGAAACATGTGCATGGTTTTCTTTGCGTTGATGGGGATTTATGCTGGCACACACGTTTCTGTTTTTTCTCCTCGGCTGTCTTTTCCTCTCGGTGGGTGCAAATAAAGTATGGGGCGACTGGGACGGACACGGCGGAAACGGAAACGGACCAGGGGCTTGAGATGGGGAGGGAGGTTATGACCATGGTGCTCAGGATCGCAGGGCAAGGGCAACTAGTCCGTTGGTTCTGGTCACGAGATGCGCGGATGTTACTGCGGTGCCTGCGCTGGCGGATGGTGTTTTTGGTTTTTTGCAGCTTCATTCTCTTGTTTAGTCTTTAGTCTTTCGTTCATGCTATGCTCAACATGTTTGCTCTATGGCGAAGTGCCGGTTGTGAAACAACGTCATTTAAATCTGGGTGCTGAAGCTGTGCCGTTTGCGTCCATGAGCCACCAGGCTCTTACATCGCCCGCCTAACCCTACGGCTGTCATTGGCCTAGTACCTGTGGGAAGGCCAGAGTCACACACGGAGGAGAGGCGTGCATCAGGGCAGACGAGCGTATCGGCAAGGCAAGGTGAAATCGAGTTCGATAGTCATGGTGCATACACAGCGCCCCCTTTCGGACCCGGCCCCCTTTGATATCTGACATTGGAAAGAACAAGCAAAACAACCCGAAAACGCCAATAGTTTTCCTACTCCAGAACACACGCACACGGGGGGGAGAGAAGCGACCTCGCTCCCTCTTCCTCGTCATGCCCTCTCCTACGCGGGCGCGGGCGGGGGGGCTTCACGCCACTGCAGCCGCCGCCGCCCGTCAGTCGTCAAAGCCTAGTATCCTCCCCTGCTGAAGCCGCCGCGTCCCCTGCCGCCGCCCCTCGGCGCACCACCGCGACCGCCAAAGCCGCCGCCGCCGCCGCGACCGCCAAAGCCGCTGCCGCCACGACCGCCGCCGAAGCCGCCGCGTCCACCCCTCGGTGCGCCGCCGCGTCCGCCGAAGCCGCCACCGCCGCCGCGTCCGCCGAAGCCGCCGCGGCCGGCGCGCTTGGGCTTCTGGCCCGGGGGCGCCTTGGGTTTCGGGAGGAAGCGCTCCATGGGGAGCAGCTTCTCGGAGGCGATGTAGAACTTGTCGCCCTCCTTGAAGGAGGTGGCCTGGATGCCCTCGGAGGGCTTGATGGTGAAGTAGACTTGGTTGATGGGGCCGAGGACTTCGTCGATCTTGCCGATGGAGGTCTGCGGGCCGTTAGTCGGTGCGTTCTTGCATGTGCCTTAGGAGACGAGCCAGGCGCTGGCACGGAGGAGACGCGGCAGGCGCTGGCACGCAGGAGGATGCTCACCTTGTTCTCGAGGAACATCTGGGCGTTGAACTGGGGCACCTTAGGGTTGATGCTCTCGCAGACCATCTCACCCTCACAGGCGTGCAGGAACTTGCCCATCTCTGCGGCACCATGGTGTTAGTTCCTGGTTGCTCGCGAGCAAGGCCCGGGGGAGGGAAAGATTCATGGCGCACCTAGGACTTGCGCCGGGGGACCCATGTCGCGTTGCTGGAAACCTCCACGGCCTGCGAAGCTCTCACGTTAGTCGGCCTGTTCTTGTCTGCATTGTCTGGCATGTCCCATGTGTTGGTGCTGACGCTGGAGAGGGGTTCTGCAGTCAATTCGTACCTCCACCTCGACCGCCGAATCCACCGCGCGGCGCACCGCGACCGCCTCGGAATGACATTGTGTCTGTTTTTTTGTTGGCTTTCTTCGACTTTCGTGTCTCTTTCGTGCCGGTGTGGGTTGGCAGCGTCGGGTGGTTCGTTGCAAGCTGCTCGCCGTGTCGTTGCGTGCCTGCTCGCCTGCTTGCTTGCTTGCTTGCTTTCGGAGCTAGCTATCGAGGCTTTGACAGAAAATTTCCAATGCCCAAAAGTTCAATTGTGGTGCCGAAAAGCAGTCTCTGATTGGACGGGGGGCCGGTCGGGGAAAAGCTATTCGCCGAGGGAGCCCCAGGACTGGGAAGGTGGGGTCCATCTGAGATACCTGGCTGCCGGCACCTGGCTTGAGCAACGGAAGTGGACCCCCCGGCTGGCAGTAATGAGTGACAAAAAGCCACACCTCTAGAGATGAGCTCACATGAACCGTTCTGCTGTATTTCATATCACTTTTGAATCGATGAAAATATATATTACCTTTGGAGTGCTGTAAAATACTTTGTATGTGAAGTCTCAGAGCATTCAATGTTGGAAAGTCCAAAGGTAGAAGAGGATACCTGTGTTTGGCGATTTGGAGTGCGCTTAATCTGTCCCCTGTGGCAGAGGACGAGAGAGGAAACACCCACTACGGTCAACTACAGCACCTGCCCGTGCACCGTATTTGGCGGAAACGACCCCTCCTTCACTTGTCTTTGGCGGGGTGACTCGAAATCGTCCTCCGTGGTGTGTTGAATCAGCCCAAAATATTTCCAGCACTCATCCTCCCCCCCCCCCTCCCCTTCTGCAACAACCTTCAACGCCCACCCTTGTCACCCACCGCTCCGAATTCGACCCCAATCGCACGCCGTCATGGAGGAAGCGAAGAAGGCCGTCGAGTCCATCACCGAGGGCGTCAAGAAGGTCGCTGTCGGTGCCGGTGCCGGTGCCGCCCCGAACAACAAGGACAACAAGCCCAAGAAGGAGAAGAAGGCCAAGGGCGGTGACGATGCCGCCTCGGCTGGACCCCTCGAGCTCAAGCCCGCCCCCGACTTCCTGCAGTCCCGTATCGAGCTGTTCGACCGCCTGAAAAAGCGACAAGATGAGGAGATCGCCGCCAAGGAGCGCAAGCCCATCGAGATCACCATGCCCGACGGCACCATCAAGGCCGGCACCAGCTGGGAGACCACGCCCGGCGAGATTGCCAAGGGCATCTCCAACAGCCTGTACAAGCGCACCGTCGTCGCCAGGCTGAACAAGGACCCCAACCAGCTGTGGGACCTCGACAGGCCGCTCGAGGCCAGCTGCAAGCTCGAGCTCCTCAACTTTGACGACGAGCAGGGCAAGCAGGTCTTCTGGCACAGCTCGGCGCATATTCTCGGCGAGGCCTGCGAGAGGCGGTTCGGTTGCTCCCTCTGCATCGGCCCCCCCGTCGACAATGGCTTCTACTACGAGATGGCGCTCCCCGGTGGGGCGTCCGTCCAGGCGAGCGACTGGAAGCCCCTCGAGTCCATCGTCGGCTCCATCGTCAAGGAGAAGCAGAAGTTTGAGAGGCTGGAGATGACCAAGGATGAGCTGCTCGAGATGTTCAGCTACAACAAGTACAAGCAGCACATCATCAAGGACAAGATTGCCGACGGCACCAAGACGACCGTCTACCGCAACGGGCCCCTGATCGATCTGTGCCGTGGGCCCCACGTCCCCAGCACCGAGCGCATCGAGGCTTTCAGCATCATGAAGAACAGCGCCTCCTACTTCCTCGGTTCCCAGGAGAACGACTCTCTCCAGCGTGTGTACGGTGTCAGTTTCCCCAGCAAGAAGGAGCTTGCTGCCCACAAGAAGTGGCTCGAGGAGGCTGCGGCGAGAGACCACCGCAAGCTCGGAGAGCAGCAGCAGCTCTTCTTCTTCCACGAGCTCTCGCCCGGCAGCGCCATGTGGCTGCCTCATGGTGCTCGCATCTACAACACCCTCATGGCCTACATCAAGGAGCAATACTTCAAGCGCGACTACCACGAGGTCATCACCCCCAACATGTACAACTCTGATCTCGTAAGGCTTCCATTGGTCGATTGCATTCGGCCATCAAAACACTAACGCGAGCCATAGTGGAAAGTCAGCGGCCACTGGGCGCATTACAAGGACGACATGTTCGTCATGGATGTCGACAAGGAGCAGTTTGCGCTGAAGCCCATGAACTGCCCCGGTCACTGCCTCATGTTCGGCCACGCCCCCAAGGCGTACCACCAGCTGCCCTGGCGGGTCGCCGACTTTGGCGTCCTTCACCGAAACGAGGCCAGCGGCGCCCTGTCTGGTCTCACGCGCGTGCGCCGTTTCCAGCAGGACGACGCCCACATCTTCTGCAGAGAAGACCAGATTGGTGAGCCCCTCAGAGACGGTGCATCCTGGCTCGATTACTGACGTGGGTGTAGGCCAGGAGATCACCAACCTGTTTGACTTCCTGCGGTCCATGTACTCTCTTCTCGGCTTCACCTACAAGCTCCGTCTCTCGACGCGCCCCGACAAGTTCATGGGTGAGCGCGCCACCTGGGACAGGGCAGAGGACATGCTGAAGGTTGCCCTTGACGAGTTTGCCGCCACCGAGGGTGGCGTCGCCTGGGAGCTCAACGAGGGTGACGGCGCTTTCTACGGACCCAAGATCGATATCAAGATCCTGGACTGCCTAAACCGCGAGTGGCAGGTATGTCGACGCCCATGTGCACATGGAGAAGGAAGACACGCGTGAAGCTGACTCGGTCACAGTGCGCCACCATCCAGCTGGATTTCCAGCTGCCCATTGTGAGTTTCTCTCCCCGTGGACGACTGTGCGTGGCGCCGGCGCTGACCATGTCAGAACTTTGGCCTCGAGTACGTCACGGCCGATTCCGCCGCCAAGACCAAGGAGGATGCCGCGGCAAAGGGCCCCGAAGTCAAGACCAAGGAGCCTGAGGCTGTTGTCGAGTCTGCCGCCGCCGCCGACGGCAAGGAGCCCGCGAAGAAGCAGCTGCGCATGTCCAAGCCCCTGACGCCTGGAAGCGCGCGCCCCGTCATCATCCACCGCGCCATGGCCGGCAGCATTGAGCGCTTCACGGGTGAGTGGCCCCGGGAACTGCAGGCAGCACGACGCTGCAGCCGTGGACTGACAAATCTCCAGGTATCCTGATTGAGCACTTTGGCGGCAAGTGGCCCATGTGGCTCAGCCCTCGCCAGATCCAGATCATCCCCGTCGGCCGCGGCTTCTTCGAGTACGCCGAGGAGGTGCAGAAGATCTTCAAGGACGCCGGCTTCTGGGTCGACGTCGACCTGTCCGGCGAGACGCTGCAGAAGAAGGTCCGCCGCGCGCAGCTGGCCCAGTACAACTTTGTCTTCAGTACGTCTCCACCCCTTTGCCGCGCCTTGCGCCCCGCGAGAGCGGCCTTCGCGCGCGCAAAGACCGCCCCCATGCCCGTGACGTGACGTGAAGTGTGGAAATAGCAGCTGACCTCTGCCAGTCGTCGGTGACGAGGAGATGAAGGGCCGCCAGGTCAACGTGCGCTACCGAGACGACACGTCGAGCCAGGACCGCGGCAAGCCCGTCGACGTTGACGAGGCCATTGCCAAGCTCAAGGAGCTGCGCGACTCGCGCCTCGTCTACAACCCCTGGCCGTCGGCAAAGCCCGCCGCCCCGGAGGCGAAGAAGGTCTGAGGCCCGAGCCTGAGGCGAAGCCTGAGGCCTGAGTGGCGCAAAGGCAGACTCTTGTATCTAGATGGCGGAGAGGCGGGGCGTGGTGGGAACGGGGAGGTTGCGCCATCTTGCATTCGCCGTGGCTGGTGGGCGATAGATGAAAGAAAAGCAATCAAGATGATGAATTGACGTGAAGATTGTTTTCGTTTGGTGGTTGTCATGTCTATTTGTGTGGCGTGCTGTGGTCTTGGTTCGTCACGGTTGCTGTGACATGCTTGGTCGATGTTCTCCTGTTCTCCTGAATGCAAGCAACAAATCACTCGTTCAAGGCGTCCGAATCCGCCAGTCCTCTGAAACATGCCTTCGCTGCCGCTCACGCCAACGTCCAGTCAGGGTATCATGCATTTTGTATTATCTGCCGCACAGCCAGCCGGCCGGGAAAAAACTACAGCACACCTCCTTCCACGCAACCATGTCAAAGACGTCCGCCTGACAACAAGCCATGACGTCAGGGAGGCGACCAGAAGGGCCGCCATCCCCTGCCACTGATCCGCGAGCTTACAGCCTCCGTTTGTGTGCCCGCCGTGTACCGTGTGCTGTGTACGTGTCATGTGCCAGCTTCCTCGCCGCCTCGCGTTCCGATCCCACTGTTTTTGCTTTGCCATGTTATAAGAGAGAGAAATAACGCATTTTGTTTCTGCCCAGTCCGCCACGCCACGCCAAAGGAAAGGGGAGAAAAGTCATGAGGGTGAAATAGACAACGAGTGCCAAATGCCCAACCCCAGGGTCGGGTTCGGAGTGGAGAGTTGAATCCCCATGTTGACGGGTCCCGCCGCTCAAGGCTTCGGTATGCGGATGCGGCGGCTCGTCATGAGGCAGCCGTGGACGACAAAGAGGAGGGCGACGGGGTGGAACTCGAGCAAGGAGCCGGCGAAGAGGGTGCCGAGGGGCAGCTTGTCGAGGACGGCACCGGTGTAGATCCAGTAGGCCATGACGCTGTCGGTGGCGAGGGACGTGGGGATCGGGGTGCCCTCAAAGTACTGGCTCTTGCCGCTGGCGTCCTTGGGCAGCACGGCGACGGTGACGTTGAAGCGGGCGAGGCGCGTGAGGCCGCAGAGGACGAAAAAGGTCAGGAGCAGGCGGTCGAGCGGCGTGCGCAGGCCGAGGGCGTAAGCGGGCGGACGCCGGGGGCGACGCCGAACGAGATGAGGTCGGCGAGCGAGTCGAGCTCCTGGCCCATGAGGGACGACTTTTTGCGCCAGCGCGCCACCTTGCCGTCCATAAAGTCGAAGAAGAGGCCGAACGGCAGGAAGAAGAGGGCGAGGTACATGGTCGAGAGGTCGGCCGGGTCGCCTAGGCAGTAGCTGAGGGAGGTGAAGATGGAGAGTGTTCCGCAGGCGCCTGTGACACGTCAGTGAGCATGGTTTCCTGGGAAAAGATAGATCGCCAGCACTGTTGGCCAACAGCCGAGGAAGCGTACCGTTGCACAGAGTAATGAGGTCAGCCAGGTGCATCGCTCGGATGAGAGAAAAATGGCCCGTCTCGGACGAAAGAAGAAGCTTCTGCTTGTCCTGCGCTGCATCGCCAGTTAGCACACAGACGTCGTCGCGCGGGCGAGAGGTGGACATGGGAGCGACGTACCAGGCGTGCTCACGTCACCGCCCTCCTTCAGGCTGCCGTTGGTCACGGCGCTGCTTGTTCGTTTCGACATGGTTGTTTTTTTTTTTGGGGGGGGGGGGGGGGGGGTTGTTGAATGCGGTGAGTGTGTGAGTGTGTGTGCAGATTGAGGGTTAACACAAGTCGGTAGATGGTCGAGGTGCTTTGTCGTTGAGGTGTGCGCTGGTGTTGGCGGAAGAGAAGGCTTGCTTTGACGTCGACGGAGGAAGGCCAAGTTTTTGTGGTCGCAAGAGGGAACTGAATGCAGGATGCGAAAGGTCGATGAAGTGGCAGGTCGTCACAATCGCTTCGCTTCGGCAGGCACTATGCCGTCATCGGTCCGGCAACTTCAGCCCCAAACTCGACTAGCGTCATTCACCCGCAAACCGTCCGCCAGCCTCAGCCACAGACACCGACGAACACGAGCACGTACACACTGCTCACCAAGTCTTGACCTGCATGACAGTGACAGTGACAGGGTACAGGTATGGTAAGGTAGTCTATCTTCATGCACATTCTCTACAGTTGTGCTGCTATTGTGGGTGGACTTGTATGGACAGTATGGGACGAGCTCAGCCGGCTCGTACCCCCATGGTAAACAAGAGGAAGAGGAAGAAGAAGACATGGAAAAAAAAAACAGAATGAGACACCTGTCGAAGCCATCATATCCAGGTGCCTGTTCCCCCTAAACGCCGCATGTGCTGTTCTATACTGTGATGCTTGTTGCTTGCTTGCTTACTGCCACGGGAATCCGGGCTCGTACCATTTCATTCCAATCCGTGACCATACCAAACCAGCCAGTGATCCAGGCCTGTACCGCATTCAACAGACAAGATGATATTAAGTGGGAGCCGTGTCCCGTCGATTGGCACATATCCCAACTGGTTGGTGTCCAGGGCTTATAGTCATGACCGACCATGTCGTGAGAAACATGTGTCCCTACAAAACAAAAAAAAAGGAGGTGTGTGGGCTCGAGTCGAGCGCAGCATGTGCTGCTTTGCTTGCCCTCAGGCCATGTATCGTCATGTGCTTTGCTCACCGGACAATGATCAATCCGAGAGAGTCGAGCTGGGAGCTGCTCGACCCAGAGACGCCGCAGACTGTGTAACCAGTAGGGCAGAGCAAGTTTGTCCTGTGCAATTCCGTTAGACGTGTTTGTTTGTGAATCTGCAGTGGCACACTTACATATGGCCGCCCTGAGGGTTGCCGTACACGAGGGACATCTCGCCCAGGCTTGTGATGATCGCAAGGCCTTGGATCGACTCGCCAGCCCTGATGTGGAATCCAGTGATGTATTCGCCCCGTCGAATGTCTGCATGCTTGTGAGCTTTGAATCATGCAACCGTAGCTTCTCGCCTCGAACAATACTGACCAAAACTGAAAGTGTCGCCACCCTCCTTGCCTGCTCTCGTTCCCAGAAGCTGTGTCGAGGCGTCTTCGTAGATGAACTCGATCCCGTGCACTGTTGTGGGGTCGTGGTACACAACGACACGGAGGAGCAGCCTACCCTCGCGTTGGATCACAACCTCCTGCGCTTCGCTGCCCTCCCTCGCTGGAGACCCTACGGGCAGGCTTCGGTAGGCGGTCCGGCTCAATGGACCAGGTGCCAGCGGGCCAGTCAGCTTGAGGGACGACTCCTTTGAGCAGAGCCTCTTCAGATCGTCAATCATCAGACTGCCTCCGCCGCCCGAAAGAGCTCGTAGGCGGACATGGCCTTTGCGGATGGCTTCAGGGAGACGCTCCCTGATCTGCAGCTCGCTAATGACCTGCTGCTTCGGGAGACCCTCCCTCGTGCCATAATCGATCCAGTGGTGGCAAACGGTCTCCCCCTCGCCCAGAATCTCGATCGCCACGACGCCCGTCTTGGCCGTCAGCACAATTTGGTTCCCTTCGATGGGAAAGGCGTTCATGCTCTCGTCGACGTGGCAAGGTCGATCGTTCGGCAGCCTGAAACAGGGATGCCAGCGGAACCGGAGACAATCGAGAAAGTGCCATGAACACTCGTCTTTGCTCAGAACGAGCCCGCCCTTGGACTTGGTCCTGGTGGAGAAAGATTCGCGGGCGACAAAACTGCGTCCGAATGTCAAGAAATCGTTGCTCATGATGCCCGACTCCCGTTCGGTACATCCAAACATGCGGCCGATTTCCTTCAGGTGCCCTCCAAGACCAGCATTGGCAGCTTCCCAGGAGCTACCAGCCTCGCTCGAAACAGCATCCGCATCTAGTCGTGTACAGTCGAGGAAGGAGTCGTCGACTTCATCCAGGCTGCTTGGGTAACTCTGCAGAAACTGTGAGCCAAAGACGGCTAGATTGAGGTCTCCAACAGAACCGCCGTGTGCGACGTGGCCTGTCACTGCACCAGCCGCCTTGTCCCAGTGCGCGTCAAGCAGCAAGACTGAGACATATTGCTTCTGGCCCGGCAGAGGCTTGAAGTAGTCATTGACAGCTTCGGCAGCCACATGGAACAGTCCATTTTCGTTAGCGCCTTCGGTTGTCTGCTGCGCAGATTGCAATTCGCGGAGTTCAGCGACCGTCTTCTCGGACCGAATGATGTGAACTCTGGCTTCACGGCGCATCTTGCCCTGCATGCGATCCTGTTGGTGCGACGTGCTGCCGGTCCACTCTTCTTCGAAACCAAAGCTTCGAGGGCCCATCTTCTGGCGCACCATTTGTTCCCCTGTGAAAGCGTGCCAGAGATACGCTGCCATGCGGTACTTTCGTACAGCAGCATCGAGGCCATTCCCTTCCACTGCGATGCGCGCAGGCACAGAGTCGAACGTCTCGGGCGAGTCTTTCGCCAAGAGAACGGCGAGTTGCAAGGGCGCATTGTATGGTGGCGTCATGTTGATGGTAAGATAGGTCGAGTGCAGCCTGTTGCTGTTCGAGCTGTTCGAAAGCTTGGGGCTAGAAAAGTCGAATCGGAGTCTGTTGGGGCCTGGCTGGAGGTAGATGACGGCTTTCCAGTGGGAGTCGCAGACCTTCCATTCCGTCGGAGGGAACTGGTCGTCTTCGCGGGTCACAGTGACGACGCCTTCAATGGTGTGTTGCGACGGATCTCCGATCGTGCCGTACACGCAGAAGAACTTTTGGTAGACCTGCACATCGATTGTCAGCACGAAGAACACTTACACGCATATGGACATGGTGTCATGATGCGCTCCGTTGGCTGGTGCGTTGACGTTTCTGAGCAGCCAGCTGAGAAAACATACATGAGCATTATTAGGAGCATTGACAATTCGAGGTGCGTAGTGCGACACAGGTAGATTCGATTTGCCATTGAGAACGGGAGAGCCCAAGCCGCTCATGCCGGAGACACTATAACGGCTCGAGGCTGGCAATGGCTGTGGAGAAGGGCGGGCATTTGGGTTGATGTTCTTGAGCTGCTGGTCCAGGGCAGGATCGGAGCCGTGAGTGGAAGGAGGCGTGATGGAGCCAGTGGTTGGCACCGTGTTTCGACTGGCATCGCTAGAGGAGTCGGTGTTGTATTGATCACCGGATCTGTCGGCGGAGGGTTCGGTCGTCCTGATGCTGGCCTTTGACCGGCGGCGCAAGCTCTTGAGGAACCCTGAGGTCGCCATTTCTGGGGCTGGAGAGAAGGAATACGAAGACGAATTGTTATGAGCAAGGAGCCGAGTCGCTCCCAGCTAGTCGTGTCTTGCTGTCTCGCAGAAAGACAATTCGGTCAAGTCGAGCTGTGCCTTTGAGTCTGAGGTTGCACAAAAAATACGAGAGCCTAAGCTAGTTGTTTGGAGGTCGGCCCAGCAGTAGCGGCGGCGGGGGGGGGAAGAGGGCGGGCGCCAGGTCCGGCAGGGAAGGCTTGTCAAGACGATGGGGAGCACGGGCTTCAGGTTGAAGCGCAGCGCTCGGAACGAGTAGTGATGGAGCTAGTGGAGCGTACGAAGGTGGTCTGACCTTGCGCAGCGACTGTCTCAAGAGTCGAGGAGAGGTAGAGTGTTTCGCGTCGAGCGAAGTAAAGAAGGGCGCCGTGGTCTGAGGCTCTGCTCGTTGTTGTTGACGATGGTGAGGCTCCTACGGCGGGAGGAGTGCAGGAAGGTGCCCAGGTCAATGAGTTGTAAATGGAAAGTGCTCGTTTGGCGCACAGATGCCGGGATTGGACAGGTTCTGGGTCGAAATGGAACAAAGCAGATGCCGGTCGTAGGAAGGAAGCAACCTGGTCAGTCAATGACGTCGAACTGAGGGATTGGAAACGGGACCGGGAGGGCGTGGATCTCTGAAATTGCAAGCCGATAACCAAGATGAGAGCGGCCAAGCCAGAGCTCCTAGGGGGCTTGGGGGGGTGTTTGGTGGTGGTGCTAAAATGGCACTCAGCGTAAGGTCGACGAAAGTGGAACAGGTGTGGCGCAACGCCGGAGCTCGGCGGCCATGTGCTAAAAGGGAATCTAGACCAGGGGGGGGTGGCCTGGAGGATGAGAGAAACACCGGCCCAAGACAGCAGGAGCAACAATTGGAAAATAGCAGAGGCAGTTGGAAAGCAGAGTTCGTTGGCACAATGGATGGACAGTGGGGGAAAAGAGAGAGAGCAATTCAAGACGTGATTGATCTTGAGTGAGGCGAGTCGACTTCAGGCAAAGTGAGATGGTGCAAAACCTCAACAGCAGGGGAAATGAGGACAGGACCACCGGCCGCGCAAGGCAGAGTGGAAAAGTGAGATGGATGCTCCAAATAGGCCGGTGATGGTGCCGGTACTGCTGCTGGGTACTGATGCCGCCAGGTGGGGCCGAAGGAGGGAAGGGGGGGGCAGAGTCGCAATCGCAAGGTGAAAAGCGCATACAATCGAGATCGAGGAAACGGCCAGCGGGCGATGGCGAATTGGCATCAAGGCCCAGCCAACCGAGCTGTCCAGCGAGGAGAGGGGTGTGGGTGGTGTGGTTCGGCGCGGCGCTGTTTGACCGGCTTGTGGATAGAGGGAGACCCAATTCAAGATCAGGATTCCTGTCTCTCTGTTCCTTCCCCCCGTCCCTCCAAGACTTCAAGGTCCCGGTTCTAATCCCAGACCAAGACCTGGGCCCAGTGCCAGGATCGATGCCAAGTATAGCCTGCAGGTGCTGTTCGTGCTACGCGGGTTGAACGGCCCAAGGGTGGATGGGTGGCTGGAGGGCTTATGTTGAGTGTGAGCAGGAGTGGAGATGGAAAGCAGAGAGTTGACGCTGCATGCGTTTATCAGGTCTTGTCCCCTGCCAGTGTTGAGCCTGTGCCTTGATGTGTAGCTGTTGGTGTTGCTGCTCCGTGAAACACATGAAGCGCAAGCGTAGGGGGGCACAATTGATGTGATCGGAATTACATGATAGGGGGGAGAGCAGCATACTGAAGGTTGGAACCAGAAGTAGGTAGGCAACTCAATCGTTTCGACTTCTCATCAGACCATGTCGCTCGCTCCCTCGCGCTCTCGCGCGCTCTCCCCCTCCCGAATGGTCCGGACGTGCTATCTCCTCCGATCCCTACCTGTCTGGGTGCCTTCAATTGCTCAGTCAGGTAGGATGAGCCCCCCACCTCAGGGAGACGCACCTCGTAATGTTGACGCTAAGCTCGCTGTATCTGCATGTAGTGTATGCGGCTACTGCTTCACAATCGGAAAGGCACAGGCAAAAAAAATGGCATGGTTTGGGGGACGGGACATCTGCATCTGTGGCAGGTGACGATCAGTGCGTAACGACTGGCCATCGCTGCACCCAGCACACCCAAAGCGCCCAACGCACCTTCAGACCATGAGTAAGGTGCAGTAGCAGCACGCAGACTGAAGCCCGCAACCCCGACACAAGACATGTTTGGAGCTGCCAATACGAGCATCTTCAGGAACAGCGGCGCATGCAGATCCTGCTGGACTTGATTGTTTTTTTTCTCGCCCTTGCCACTTCTTCGTGAGGCTTTGACGGCCTTGAGAGTTGCTTCATCGTCATGCTCTGCCTTATGTGAACGTTCATGTCGTCGTCAGATTGTCAGCGGACATGGAGCGAACGGGCGATCGCAGGTGGCACAAGAAGCAGGAAGCCAGTTGGCAGTTTATTCAGCAGGTAGGCCATCAAGCCACGCATGTCCCGCCATCGATCCGTCGCACGCGGGGCGTAGCCGGGGCCGCTAACAACATATACAGCATCGAATTATTATCGCTGATGGACTAGTAAAGCTAATCAGAGGACATTTTGATGCGTTAGGTTTGGTGAGCTCCTCAATTCGCGAAGGGGCCAGCGCGTGGAGAGGTTAAAAACCTAGAGTCAAGACTTCTCTCTCTCTGTGCATTTTTGTAGGTTGCAGACTGTACATGTACATGTAGACTGCAGATATCCCTGTATTGACCTTAGTCGCTACGTGCTTCTCCTGTCGGACATCCCTTATAGCGCTAAGGTAGTCCACTATCAATCAGATAGGAATGCCTGGAAAGTGAATACGGTGCTCCTTAGATCTGTCCCCAGAGTCAGCAGATGGGCAGCTGGGCAGGTACCCATGTGCTCACAGACTCTCGGTTCGTTTAGAGCACAGTGCCTGCGGCTGTTCGTCAGTCACAGTCTGCCCTGCCAACCAGCACCCAGGTACCGAAATCCAGTTAAAGTGGTTTCTTCATTCCTTACCTCGACAACCATTTTGCGCCTCAAGACTCGACGCCCTCTCCAGCACGGCCACTCCTGATTCCCAAACCACCTACACTCATTCAGAATACAACCTCCCAACGAAGAACTCGATACAATTGACCAGCAAAACGATCGAAACCAGTCCTTTTTTTTTCCCCTTAGGGCCGCCAGCCTCTGCGACAGCTGTCCGATCACCTGTTCTTCTCCCCCGCTTACGTCCACCCAGTAGCCGCCGAGCCCCCTTCAGTTCAGCTCACGACTACCAATCCCATCATCAGCTCTCCCTATCCTTCTTCTGCACCGGAACACGCACCGCAGAACAGCCAGTCGCTCGAACTCCTTGACAATTTTCTTCATTTCTTTCTACAAGTCATACGACCCCGCCTCGCGCGCACTCAACCTGGTCGAACGGCAGATCATGTCGTCGCCCTGGAAACAGCAACCCGAAGTGGTGGTGGATAAGGTGCTCAAGCGGGCTGAAGTCAGCAAAGTAAGTCCAGACTTCATGCCATCGTACGCCATGCCATGTCAACCTAACCCCTCTCTCTCTTCGACAGATCGCACGGAAACTACAAAATCGTCTGGCCTTGGCACAGTTCAAAACCAAGCATGGCTGGGAAGACCTCGCTTTCGAGACGATCGAGCCCAAGGTGGAAGAGGAGATGCGCCGCAAGAGGATGTGCGAGGGCGATGTCCTATCCGACTCTTCTTCCAGCGCCTCCGACCTGCCCTACCCATCGCGGGCGTTGATGAGCTCGCCTCTCAAAGCCCCTCTCTTTTCCGATGCCATCGGGTCCAGCAACGGCAGCACCACTCGCCGCAAGAGGACCTTCAACGCCACTTTCGACTACGCACCTTCTAGTCCAAGCAAGCGCCTGCGGTCCTCCCCGACACCGAGCAAGTCTTTCCATGGACACCATGGTTGGAAGGGTAACCACCAACTGGCCCAGTCGTCGCCCCTCAAGCCAAGGCGACAGCAACACTTTACCACATCTGCCGGTCCAAACGTCTCCCTTTATCAAAGCACACGTAACTTCACATTTGACCTGACGTCTCCCAACCTAACGACGTCAGATGACGAGGATGATCTGCCGCTTCACTCCTTCCGGGCCCACGATATCCATTCATCGCCGCCGAGCACACCGCCCATGCGCAACCGAGGACTGCCTGGTCGTTCCATGCGTGAGCGGGGGTCCCCAGGGGCCAACGGCAAGAATGGACAAGAAGGCGCAGACTTGCTCCTCTATCTGGCAGCTTCCCCTTCGCCAGCGATGCCGTCCACCAAGACGAGAATGGACCCGCCTTCAACCCCGCCATCCAAATTCAACCGTGACATGGGCTTGCCATCTTCACACATGACGACGCCAGGCGGCGGCAACCTGTTCCCCAGCACGCCGAGCCAAAACTTCGACTTTGCCGACTTTGTCAACATCACACCCAGTCCTGCTCAGAAGCATTGGAAGACGCCGGTCAGCCTGGCCACGGCGAAGACTCCATTGAGTTCAGCCAGACGGCGTCTAACCTTTGACGACCCTTTGCTTTGATTTCAGAATTACTCTGATCTGAATTGGACCAGCCTTTTTTTATTATGTACATGATACCTCGACAGTCCGCCCGGCACATGCGGAACACTGAGGCTCTGCGAGCCTGCGTTACTTGATTTTATTTATCCTCTACGGGAGGGTTGCGGTCCATTTTTGCTGTGTAAGGATACGTTCGACACGACTTCTCTTTGTTCACTGGAAGCCCGCAGGGATGGCGGTCTTCTCGGTCAGCGCCACGGATGGATGGGAAGGCTAGGGATGGAAGGAACTGCAGAAGCGTGGACGGCACGACGGGACATTGGGAATCTTCTTTTGCGGCACAGGCTAAGCGAGGTCGCCTGTATGCAAGCCCAATTGCACAATGACGTGGTGCAAAGCATGCGGCATGCTCAGTTTGATGAGCCTGCACATGTGAACCAACCAGCCCCGAAAGGGTGGAGAGCGACGCGTGACTGCGAATTACCGACGCGCCTTCGCGTGTCACTCGCGTAGCACGCGCATTGTCGCGCTACGCAGACGCGTTTTCTTAAATGAGTCTATAGCCAATCAAGATGGATGGAATTACTTTAACCACGTCCCATTTCTCTGCCACGCACGGTGTCGGGTGCTCCAGGATTACCAACAGACCGTTCAATTGAAGGAGTGATTCGACGCTCGTCAGTTTAGCAATGCAATACCCAAATGTGAGCACTTTGAGAGTCAAGTCACGAGGCATCGGTCAATTGCTCGTGCGCATGAAGGCGTCCCCATTCAAGGCTGTCGTACATGCCGGGTTCGATCATTGGAATGCATTAGAGTTGCCTAATTCCCTTTTCATTCAAGAAGAGGGCGGGACGGACAAGTGTCCCCGCCATGGTTGCTACTACTTCGACCCGGAATGGCTCGTCGTAAAGTCGACAATAGCCCGCCGCACGCCTTCCGGGGACGGCGTCGCAGCGCACACGTCGGGCTCAAAGCCAAAGGTCCGCCGCAGGTAGTCCCTCGTCGTGGGCCCTATGGTCGCGACATAGGTCCTGCCGTCCCTGGCCTCGGCGGGGCGCGCCCTGCCCGAGGCGTCGTCGAGGAGACCCAGGCCGCGCAGCAGGCTGTCGCAGCCCGTGGGCGAGAAGACGACGACCCAGCGCGCGGGGCGCGATGCCGTCTCGTCGAGGAGGCGCGCGAGGTGGTCGGGGAACGTGGGCATGACGCCCGTGCCGTAGACGGTCACCTCGGTCACGGGGATGCGGCGGTCCGGCGGCAGGGCTGGGTCGGTGAGGGTGCGCGGGATGATGTCCCTGCGCTGCTCGCCGACGAGGAACAGGAGCGGCGGTTTCGGCACGCGCGCGGGGTAGCGGCGCATGGCGTAGTCGTCGAGGATGAAGGCGGCGAGGGCGTCGCCGTTGCCGGTGTGGGAGCCGTGGATGGCCAGCGGCGGCGTCTGGGGCACGGCGCCCAGCGCACGCGTCGTCGCGGGGCCGACGCTGTAGACGGGGACCGACTGGAGATGTGGCCAGGCGGCGTCGTCGTCTGCACCTGAGCTCTTGCCCTGTTCGACGAGGCCGATGAAGGCTTCGACGGCGCGTTGGGACGTGAAGATGAGGCCGCCGTAGGACGCGCCCTCGTCTGAGCGAATGCCTCGGTTTTGAAGGAGGGTCCGCACCTCATCCAGGCCTTCTTGGATGAGGGTGTGCTGCAGCACGGGGACGAAAGTGGGCTCGAAGGACCAGCCGTCCTCGTTGGTTGACCCGAGCAGATCTTCGTACGAATCTCCTGGAGACGATCTCGTCTTGAGCAACAGTATCGGTACCGCGCCGTCGACACTCGGTTGTGATGCGGTCATGTTGGCGGGGTATACCTGTTCGACTGGGACTTGCTGACGACGCGCAATGTACAGAGCGAACCAAATCTCTAGTTCTGTCTATTGCAACAATGCAATGTGCGGCGGTCCAGCTGCGAGCCTTCTATCAAAGTTTCTGCCATCATTCGAAGCTGTCCAGATGCCGGGTCCACCGCTCGCCGTTCACGGCAGATCCCCCACTCGCCGAATGCTGCACCTTGTTACGTGCCTAGATCCTGGAGCTCTGGATTCTTATCGATAAGGACCGCCGTGGAACTGGCGACGATGTTCTGGACAGGACAAGCACCCGGCGACGAATTTTAGCAGCTTACAAATTTTAGAAGAATCTTGCTCAGACTGCCAGCACGCTCCTTATTCCCTTTGATACATACACTGCGAAACCATCTTACGCTTGGAACCCATTCGATCTGCCACGGACATCTCCAGCATGGCTCAGCCGGGACGGGACGACAACACCAGTGGCGTGACGCTCACGGACACGAATCCAGCTGCCGCACCCGGCGCAACGGCTGCCGGAGCCGACGAGGCCAAGGCGAAATATCCCAAAGGAATCGTTCTTGGCCCGGACGGGAAGCCGTTCGTGCCCCCAACACGCCCCATGCGCGACACTTTCTGTCTCGTCGCTGCAAGCAGACTCGCTAACATGTAGACTGATCAGCTGCCGAACATGCACATCTTCCACCTTCTGGGCGTCGATGGGCAAGACACCCAAGACGAAAGGATCTACGGCGACGGCGACGGCGCCATCAGCGACGAATGGGCTTCCGGCCGACTGCCCCCCGGATGTAGAACGCCTCGGGAACAGCACGTGGACGCTCCTGCACAGCATCGCCGCCACGTATCCCGAGAACCCAAGTCCGGCGCAGAAGGACGACCTGCGCGGCTTCATGCGGACCTTCAGCAGGCTGTATCCGTGCTGGGTGTGCGCCGAAGACTTCCAGAGCTACATCAAGAAGGACGAGGTGCGCGTCGAGGGCAGGCAGGAGTTTGGCAATTGGCTTTGCATGGCACACAATGAGGTGAACCGCAAGCTTGGCAAGAAGGAGTTCGACTGTTCGCGTTGGGAGGAGAGATGGAGGACTGGGTGGAAAGACGGGCGATGCGACTGAGGTCAGAAGCACAATGATGAAGTAAATCATGGTGTTGGGAAGCGTCTCGGTCTGACATACACACCGCTCCCGCTTGTAGAATAATGTACATAGAACGTAGATGAGCACGACAATACTCCTCCGATCTGATACGGCTTTGACGCGGGAAAGCATCCGACAAGGCGAGAAAGTACGGCCACGGGGGCAAAGGAAAACAATAAAAAGGCCACAATGGACAATGGCCACATAGAACGAAGGCCGGGCCAGGTTCGAAATAAGTCCGAGATGGCCGGGCCGTAGCGATGGCGATGGCGATGGCGCTTGTCAATGGCTACGGGCCATGCATGGCGTTGAGTCGAGGCAGGCAGAGTCAGGACGCTGGCAGGTGCATGTGGGCGGATCCTGGAAACGACACCGGCAGCAGCAGCCGGACGGCCCCACTTCCAACCATGACTTCCGTATGCATGTCGTGGGCTGAGCTTTTGGCAGGAGCTCAGGTAATTAGGTGCCTGCCCGCATCTGGAGCTTCGGACGTGGATGCCCTTGTGTGGCGTGGTGTTGGGTCGATTACATCACTACCACGATAGGACCCCTCTTTCGTTCTGTGAAGCAGACATGGCTGCACCCGCTTGTCCCACCACCGATGCTGGAGCTTGCCAGGCTTGCAGCATGACTGGTGGTCTAGCGCTACCAGACAATAACGCGAATCGGTGTGTGTCTTACGAGCAGTTCCCTGTCCAGAGCAATTTTCGAGTGATGCGGGAAGGACCGAATCTATCATGTTGTCCTGGACTTGCTGGAGCAGAGACAGCTCCAGACGTGGCGTGATCCGGCGTCAACACCACCATCAGACTTTACCAGTCCTACCGTCATCCATTGGACCGGCCTAGCTATCTCCTACCTAGCTACCGACCATTCGTCAGCTTTCTGCATTCTCTTTAGTGTCCTTATAAAATCCACATGTCCTAGACATCCTCAAGTTTCCTACCTCTGCCCTACTTGGTTCGCACATCGTCAAACACCCAGCTACACTACCTGTTCCGCGCCATACATCAGATCAGAACCTTCCTGTGCCTCACCCCGAACCAGCCATGGCCAGTATTCGCGAACAAGGGCTCGAGGAGCCCATTGAGGTGGCTACCTACTTGTACAAGAGACTCTACGAGATTGGCGTCCGCTCACTTCACGGACTGCCCGGCGACTACAACCTCGTCGCACTGGACTACCTTCCCAAGGCCGGCGTAAAATGGGTGGGCAGCGTCAATGAGCTCAACGCGGGTGAGTTCATGACGGAAAGCTTCGTTTAACAGCTCGATTGACGGAATTCCCTAGGGTATGCTGCAGATGGCTATGCCCGTGTCAAGGGCGTCTCGGCCATCATGACCACCTTTGGCGTAGGTGAGCTATCGGCCATCAACGCCCTCGCCGGCGCCTATTCGGAACACATTCCCGTCGTTCACATTGTCGGCTGCCCCTCCACCGTGTCACAGCGAAACGGTATGCTATTGCACCACACTCTTGGCAATGGCGATTTCAATGTCTTCGCCAACATGAGCTCCCAGATCTCCTGCAACATGGCCAAGCTCAACAACCCTGCCGAGATTGCAACCCAGATTGATCATGCTCTTCAGCAGTGCTACATTCAGAGCAGGCCCGTCTACATCATGTTGCCTACCGACATGGTGGAAAAGAAGATCGAGGGCGCCCGACTCAAGACACCCATTGATCTTGAGGAGGCACCCAACGACCCAGAAAAGGAGGACTACGTCGTCGATGTCGTCTTGAAGTACCTTCACGCTGCCAAGAAGCCGGTCATGCTCGTTGACGCCTGTGCTATTCGTCACAGAGTGCTAGACGAGACCCACGCGTTGTTGGAGAAGTCTGGTATCCCCGTTTTTGTGACGCCCATGGGAAAGAGTGCCATTAACGAGACACACTCCAACTACGGTGGTGTTTATGCCGGCGAGGCCTCGCGACCCGAAGTCAAGGAGAAGATAGAGTCGGCGGACTTGATCTTGTCCATCGGTACTCTCAAGGTGAGCTGCAGGATCTCCCACGTAGGAACTGATTTTGGCTAATCAATTCACAGAGCGACTTCAACACAGCCGGCTTCTCGTACCGGACCTCTCAGCTCAACACCATTGACTTCCACAGCACACACACCGTGGTACGATACTCGGAATATCCTGGCGTCAAGATGCGGGGCGTGCTCCGTAAGGTGACGGAGAAGCTTGACCTCAGCAAACTGTCGGTCATCCCGTCGCCAGATGCCCCTGTCGCCTTGCCGACAAAGGAGGAGGACTCGTCACAGACAATTACTCAGGCGTGGCTGTGGCCCAGAGTAGGCCACTTCCTACGCAAGAATGACATTGTAGTGACGGAGACTGGCACTGCCAATTTCGGCATCTGGGACACAGCCTTCCCAAGTGGTGTCACGGCTCTGAGCCAGGTTCTCTGGGGCAGCATCGGATGGTCTGTCGGCGCTTGCCAGGGCGCTGCTCTGGCTTCCAAGGACGCCCAGACTGACAGGCGGACTATCCTGTTCGTGGGCGATGGATCATTCCAGCTCACCGCCCAAGAGGTCACCACCATGATCCGCCATCAACTCAGAGTGACAATGTGAGTTCCACTCTCTACCCAACCTATCTAGTTTATATGGCTAACGAGCACTCACAGCTTTGTCATTTGCAACGACGGCTACACGATCGAGCGTTTCATCCACGGCATGGACGCCGGGTACAATGATGTTGTTCAGTGGAAGTACCAGGACACAGTCACGGTGTTCGGCGGCACCGACAAGACGGCCAAGAAATTCCAGGTTCGCACCAAGGAGGAGCTCGACAAGCTCTTCAAGGACGAGAGCTTCAACAATGCCAAGGAGGTGCAGTTTGTCGAGCTCTACATGGAGAAGAAGGATGCGCCGAGGGCACTCGTCATGACGGCAGAGGCCAGCGCCAAGACGAATGCGAAGGACAGCTAGTGTATTCATGATGTTTTCACGGGGAGATTGTTGCAAGACCTGAGGTCGGAGGAGAGGAGAATAATGCGTTGTAAGGACTGAACAGAAATTACCAAAATAAACCACTAATATTACCCTCGATATTCTCTTGAGCAACGTGGGACATGTCCAGTCAACGGCGAAGCAAGTCATCGGAGGCTCTGTGATGCATGCGGTAATGATGGTCTGTGTGTACGAGGTGGGGCCCCTGACGACACAGCTGGCTGGTGAGTATGTGGGTACGTACTTTTCAATCGCTGAAGCTTCACCTGGAAGCGTATGAAAACCTAGCTCAACGCGACCCATCATCCTATCACCAAGAACTCACGCCGTCTCGAAGCAACAATTCACCGTCACTCCAAGAATATCAAAGGTTCATTCTCACGAAAGCGACAATGTCGGATGCTCCCAAGAGGAAACAGGGCGGCCAAGGCGGCGGTGGGGATCGGCCCTTGAAGAAGAGCAAGGTAGGTCCTCGCTTTCTGACAAGTCGCTGGCTGAACAAGTCGCTGGTTTTCCAGTCGGAGCACCCTTTTTTTTTTTCTTTGTAGACACTGGTTTGGAACGCAGCACTGACGGCGACAGGGCGGCAACGCGGGGGCCTGGCAGACGACGGCGCACAAATTGAACCTGGCCAAGCTGAGCGAGAAGGATGCGCATCTCGAGGCCGGAGGGCAGGGTATCTGGGTGACGTTTGTCCGGGGCATGGACCGCAAGGCGATTGTCGAGTTTGAGAAGCTCTGCAACGAGGTTGGTTTTTTTTCCCCCCTTTCTTATTGCTGCGGGACAGTTCTGGTGATGGATGCCCTTCGCCTTGCTGCCGTCCCGCCCCTTTGCACCCCTGGGCTGCCGTGTGTGCTGACGTGTCGTGCAGCTCGGCGAGACGATGTACGGGATCGCCCCTCCTGCGGACGAGGCGGCGGTGCCCGGGGAAGACGACGAGGACGACATTGAGGCGTCGATCCGCAAAGAGATGGAGGGTTTCAAGTCGAAGGAGCCGAAGCCCAAGGGGGCGTTCGCCATTGTGCGTGCCGACATTGAGTGCGTCTTCTTCCTCAAGACGCGGGAGCCCGTCGACCCTGTCGCGCTGTGTCGGCGCATGTGCACGGATGCCAAGGGGTGCGCCAACGTCATGGAGAGGAAGACGAGGTACATCAACCGCCTGACACCCGTGGCCGTGACGGGAAAGGTGGCCAGCGGCGTGGACAAGGTGGCCAGGCAGGCGCTCGCGCCGTGGTTCCAGGGCGTCAAGGCGGAGGATGGGAGCGAGGATGCGCAGAAGGGCGCTGCTGGCGAGGGTCAGGCGCCTTACACGGTATGTCAAGCGAGGTCTGGCTCGGAAGAAGCCCAGGTTTTCCCACGTGAACTATTTGAACGAGGAGCGTATGCTAAAGAAGGTGGTGTGTGACAGTATGCGATCCGGCCCTCGATCCGTGCCAACAGCGACATCAAGCGCAACGAGGTCATTGATCAGGTGGCGGGCTTGATTGGCAAGCAGCACAAGGTCAACCTGGATAATCCAGACAAGGTCATCCTTATTGATGTTTACAAGGTACAGTTCGCGCGTGACCATCCTTTTCGCACCGTCCCCCATGGTCTGCCGTCTCGTGGATATGACAGCTGACGTTGAGGGCGACCCCATCAGAACTTCTGCGGCATGAGCGTCGTCGATGGAAAGGAGTGGGAGGAGCTCAAGCGCTACAACATCAACGAGCTCCACAAGGCAGTAGCGAAGCCCAAGGGAGGCAACAAGGCGGCTGAGGCTGATGCTGTGGCTGCGTCTTCAGACACGCCGGCGCCCGCGGTTGTAAATGAGACGCACGACGAGGAGGCGAAAGCGAGCTTGTGATTGACGGATGGGCTAGGCCTTTGAGAGTGCGCGAGCCAGTGCAAGCCTTCGCGTCGGTCAGCTCTGATCCTCGGGGGTGGGCGAGACCGCTCCACGGCCAGGATGCAGGTCGGGCGTCCGCCAGCAATGGGTAACGTGCGCCGTCAGCGCGCAGCTGGAGGAGCTGGAGGAGTTAGACGAGTTGGAGTTGGATGATGGTTCAAGCCGGAATGCCAGCCCTTGCGTCTAGACAGATGCCAATTGAGGCTCCCGGTGTGGGAGATGGATGGTATGCGGGTGGTCGGCCTGTCATCAGCGGCGGTAACGTGGCGGGCGACATATCGAGCATCAGCATCAGTCATCATTCCCTCGAGGCACAGGCCAGCTACACCATTTTGCTCCTTGGGGCGTCATATTTGGTACCTTAGCCTCTCCCGGTGGTCTCAACCTGATCCCCCACTCAACGAGATTTGTCGGCTTTAGATGCTGGTCCCCCGTCCGGCTCCGAGATGGGCCTTGGATTTTCGCAGCGGGGATTCCAAAGGGCAACGAGGGCCAAACCTAATGTAATGACAGCTTCTGCCTCTACCTCTGCCCTCTCTGACTTCTGCTTGCGACAGTGGTGGTGGCCCTGGTCTCGGTTGCCGTGCACCCTTGGTCGATCAGGCTAAAATGACGCTCGCTCCGGGCGGCCACGCTAAGCCCTATTGCGACAATTTTGACGAGCAGAGGGTCTGAGGAGGGTCTGAGGAGGGTCGGAGAGAGGACCCTCTCGGCACGGTTCCTTCCAGACGTTCTAGCGAAGTTCCAAAGTGCATGGCAGAGACATTTACATGTATCTACCTGAGTGTCATGCCACCTCTTTGCCTCGTTGCCTTGTTGCCGCGTCTGCGTGCGAGTGTGACTTATCTCCCCTTGAGACACGAGGAGACGTCGTTGGAGCTGGAGGCTCAACTCCAAGTCGAGGCGGGCGGCACATCTGTCGAGCGAGCTTCAAGGTGAACATGTTCGTTTCTCAAGAAGGGGAAAGACCTACAGCATGGCCGCTTTGGGATTCGGGTCTCGTAGGATTAGGACAAGGACACTGGTCGAGATGTCATGCCTACCTAAGGTAGGTACCTACCTAAGGAGGTACTAAGGTAGGTAGTTGATATGGCTGCTTTCGGCGGTCATGTCCTTCCTTCGACGGTACCTAACTTCTGGTAGTAGGTAGGCAGTGAGGAAAGAGGTACTGACGTGGAGAAGAAGCACCGACGTAGGACCGAACACTACGTTGCTCCTGCCTACATTCACCCCCATTGAGAAGCTTACTCGGTACCTGTGGAAGTTGGGGGGCTGGTCCTTTGGTCATTCATTTTCTTTTCCACAGGAAGCGACATCTCTCACATGAAGCGTCAAAGTGCTGGTTCGCTCTCCCCTCATCCACCCCCCACCCTTTCCTCACCCCCCAAGCCCCCCAGTCTTTAGAGTGCATCGTGCAAAGGCACAAGGTGAGCCAATCGATCCAGAGGCAGGACCCTCCACGACGGGGAAGGAGGCTTTGGCTCGCTTGCTGTCGACCAATCACCAAATCTCCGGCTCGCTTCCCCATGCTCCTGGGCCCTTCGATCCCCAATTTTCCATCCAGAGCATCAGCCAATGGGCACGTCCACTGTCATCTCTAGCCAGGTACGTTTTCTCAACCCCAACTCTTGATTTGCGTCTCGTTCCCTTCAGCTCAACCTCATGAGTTCCCAGCTCCCCCAGCTCCCCCAGCTACAAGGTGCCCCCCTCCGCCATCCGGCTTTGGATTGGACCCAAAAACCCCCAGTGGCCAGACTGTGTGGAAAAGAAGAAGCAATACACACACCCAAAAAAAAAAAAAAAAAATCTCGACCAATGCCAGAGCTTGGTTGACCGGACCTTGAACCGAACGAGTTGACACAAAGCTGTCAAGACTGTCTATCCAATCTCATCGCATGCCTACTTTTCCCTCCCTCTTTACTCCTCGGGCGAAAATGGATGAAGATCGCTTCGGATTGGTCGGTGAAAACAAACAGTCGGGACGGATCTTTTCTCTGCGCTGTCATGCTGCAAGTCGCATTGGATGCATACGCAGCTTCGCATGAGCATGGTCGGCATCCCATGTCAGAGACCCTCAAACGCTCATGTCCGAACCAGGTCCCTTGCTCTTTCTCTCTCTCTCTCTCTCTCTCTCTCTCTCTCTCTCTCTCTCTCTCTCTCTCTCTCTCACCCCCCTTCTCGCTCTCGCTCACCATGACGAGGCCCTGGCCCTATTCGCATTCGTACAATCTCTATCCACGTACGCACGCGCGCCCGCACCCTTCCGGGCTATGTCTGCCGGAGACGACTGCAGGATATCTCCAGGGGTGGGAAGCCATCTTTCGGAACTACGAACGGAACTACGAAGGGTAGGTCGAGGAGGAAACGCCCTCACCAGGGACCTGGCCTTGCCACTTTCTACCCCGTCTCCCCCCTTCTTTCCAACCCCCGGGACGGGTCGGGGCAGAAGCGATTTTCGGCTTACGCAGCGGCGTGGCTTTGGCAAGTATCGATCTTGTTTCTCCCTTGTTCATACATAATTCCCATCATGCCCAGTGAGGTGAGTGCCTGGGCCTCTAGCGGGCATCTGACCTACTCGTCTCACATGCCCACTTTCTCTCTAGCGCAGCCCTCCGGCTTGGGTCCTGGATGTGGGTTGACGCTTGTGCTCGTGCTCTTGGTCGTGGTCGTGGTCGTCCTCGTGCTGGTTGGTACCTAGCTTGTGTATCATTAGCTACCTTACCTAGGTATGCAACGACCATGACAGCCCCAACGGGCCACCCGCCCGGTCACTTGGGTCCACGTCCACCTAATCGTCCCAAACTGCTTCTTACGGTGTAGGCACTGGCGTTTTCGGGCGTCCCATTAAGCGAACAGGAACCGTACTACTATGCACCCGAGACGCCCAGTGGATCACTGGATCGCTGGATCGCCAGGCGCGTTGCTTGTCTTGTCGACATGGCTGTCACTCTCACTCTCTCACTCACTCTCTCTCTCTCTCTCTCTCTCCCTCTCTCCCTCATCCACTCTCTCGTTGCCAACCAAGCGCAAGCTTTGAGGCTTCGAGGCTCGCTTGCTCGTCTATTCGCTTGCTCAAGGCTGCGCAGCGAGCAAGCCTCTCGCTTCACCACCACTCCTTTCAGCCCTCTGCCATGTCTCGCCTCGTCTCCTATCACCGCTTCTGCCTTTGATCGCCAAAACTACCAGGCCGCCACAACGCACAAAGTTGGCCATAAGCCCCCCCATCCCTTTTGCTCGGCTCGCCTGTTCGTCTTGTCGACAAATAGCGTCGTTCCGTTAACCGGATCCTCCTACTCCTACTCCTGCTACTCTTCCTGCAACGTCCTGCAACTCGCTTTCATGCCCACTCCCTCCCACCCCCTGGTCCATCACCCTGTCCCACCCCTGGTCCTGTCATCAACGCCAATCCCGCAGTTGTACCTCTTGGGTACTGATCCTATCCTTCGCTCGGCTCTTACCATCCCGGACTTGAACAGCGGAACCCGCTCGACGCAACCTGCTTGCCTGCAACCTGGCTGCACTGACTGCGTCGGACTCTGTCCATTCGCTTGCGGCTCATTACACTGATAGCCAGCGTCTCTCTTTCGCCTCATGCCTGCACTGGTAGTGGCCTCCTTGCTTGTCTGTTGCAGACACACTACGACAAGGAGCCGACAGGCAAACTCTCCCCCTTTCTTCTCATTCCACATATTATAATACACATCCTCATATCATCTATATCTTGGCAACCTTCCATCTCAGCCGACTCTCCTTCAACTTCACTCGCATCTTGCATCAGGAACTAAGAGTCTTGCCTTGCCCATATTCGTACACTAATCAGATACATCGTTTACCCACATCTGGTGTGTACGACTCTGCTCGACAGCCTCCAACTACAGCCACAGTTACAACAACTCCGACTGGGCCCCTTGCGACCCAGTACACGCCTCGCAAGACGTTTCGCAGATCTGCAATCTGCCGTCCAGCTCGCGGAAAAAGGGCTGTTCGAGAACGGCGGACGCTCTCTCCCACACCTAGTCTTTCTCTCTGTGCAACACGGAGGAGAGAACCCTCAGGGCCATCATACGAAGACCACAGAACGCCCCATGTGCGTAACACTGCCCACCAGGTCCATGCAGGCTGTTATAAGCCGTGCCGTCCCCGACGTCACCGTCCAACATGTCCAGCCCGTGTCGTCTCTACGCTCACAGAGGCTCTACGACGTTGAATGTACGAACGGCACGAACCTCGCCATAGCCCTCCCCGCCATGCCCATGGCCAGACTGCTGCGTTCTGAGCAAGGATCCATTAGCTCCGAAGCTGCCGTTCTCAAGTGGCTAGCCGGGCTCCATGTCAAGAAGCCTCTTCTCCAAGAGAGGACACCTGAGCCAGAAGAGACCCGTGTTGTTCTGTCTCGTGACGGTAAACATGTCCGAAGCCCGAGCAATAGTTCCTCAGACGACCACTCCACCAGTACGCGCCTAGCAAATTTTCTGCCGCAGCTCCTCCTACACTCGGCCGGCTCGAACGAACACAGGATCGAGTACAACGTCACAAGACCCACGCAAGGCAAGCCGATAGCAGACCTGAGCCCGCCCCTGAACCCATCAGAACGCAAGCTTGTCGACCTACAGACGGGACGCTTCTGCCGGAGGGTGTCGGAGCTCGTGTCGCCCACGGGACGCTTCGGTCCTGCCTTTGCCGTCCTGCCGACACTCACACCTTCGCACTCCGGAGCCTCGACGCCCTCGGCCAGGCGAGACGCCAACGCCCGCATGATCCAGTCCAAGGGCGTCGAGACGTGGGCTACGGCTTTCCACTCGATGCTCGAGGCTGTGCTACGGGACGGAGAGGACATGGCTGTTATGCTCGCCTATGCCAACGTTCGACGACAGTACAGGCGGCTGGCTCACGTTCTTGAGGGGGTTACGTGCTCGAGGCTAGTTGCCGTTGATGCCGGAGACAACATGAACACACTTGTGTTGCGCAAGGCGAGGCACGGAACTCCAGCAACAGACGATGACGACGACGATAGCGAAGACGAGGAAGACCGAAAGACGGAGACTGGATCTTCACAAGCTGGAGAGGACGACGAGCAGACAGAAGAAGAGGAAGACAAGACGGCGCTTGAGGCGCCACACGATATCACAATGACCGGCATGAAGGACTGGAGCCACTTCATCTTTGGCGACCCCCTATTCGCGACCGTCTTCAGCCGAGACGCGACCGACGAGTTCCTCAGGGGCTTCAACGACGCGGCCGCCGGGCACGAAGCAGATGGCGAAGGCAACGAACCGCAGAGCAAGTTCGATTCTGTCCTCATCGAGGACAAGGCCAACGCCCACGTCAGGCTGCTATTGTACGACTGTTACCACAACATCACCCAGGTGGTCAGGGAGTTCTACCGCCCGCGCAAAGACAGCAGCCGGCACGAGCTCGCGGCGAGGAAGAGGCTCAACGATATACTGACCAGGCTTGAGGCGATTGGTGAGCCAAAACCCACGCTGCGGAGGAAACGCAGCGGTGAGATGAGCCCTGCTAAGAGGGCGAAGAGCGAGGGGCCGGAGGATGCGTGATGTGCAGTGCAGCCGAGCGATAGCATGACGAGCCTTGACATTTTACCCCTATTCTGATGACCTGCCCCCCCGCGAGAGATGAATGCTCGATCAAGAAAAAGGGGGCGCGGATAGTTATTCTTCAAACGAATGAAAGGACTCATAGAGTAAGCGATAGGATGAGATGCAGAGTAATCTAGGTAGCATGACGAAAATTATGATCAGATTACTCCTATTCTCACTTTTCTGCCTTGTTCGCACCGGCAGCATGACCATCATCATCATCGTCCCCAAAGTCTTCGTCGCGCGGCAGCTGCATGCCCATCATGGCCAGCATGTTGCCCGCAGGCCCGGCCATGCCGGCCTGCCCCTTGAAACTCTCCAGCAGGTTCTTGGCGAGGTTGTAGTCAATGTCCATCTCCCCGTCCGTGCTCTCGTCCTCGTCGCTCCCGGGCGCCTCCGCCTCCGCCTCTTTTTTCCCCTTTCCCTTTAGCGCCGCCAGTTTCGTGTCGGGGGTGGGGTCCAGCTTGAGCGCCCCGTGTTCGTTCAGTTCCGCCTCAAACTGCGCTGCCAGGTCTCTGATGCCCTGGTCGTCCTGGTCGCTCGTTGCCTTTTCGCGTGACGTGGTGCTGCTGCTGGGGGCTCCAGCCGGCGGGCCCTCGGCTTCCGTCGTCGTCGACGGCAGGCCCATCATCTCCCTCATCATGCGGGCAAACGCCTCCTCGTCAAAGCTCACCGCCTTGTCCTCGTCCTCGCTGTCGTCGTCCCACGAGCCCAGGCTGTCCGTGTCGTTGTCGCGGTCCATCTCGTCGTCGTCGTCGTCTCCGGGCGCGGTCGACGCCCGCAGCGTCGTCGTTGAGGAACGACTCGAACCGCGACACGAGTTTCCGCAGGTCCGCTTTGGCGGTGGCATCGCCAAAGCCCGACTTGGCGGCGCCG